GCAAAAGCCCCATGACTTAATCCCGGGAGCTGAGGTGGCTCTGGGCTGCACAGAAAGTGCCAGAATGTGTAAACAGCAGGGGCAGGAGCAGCAAGGGGCCGCTTGCTCCCTCCTGGAGGGTGAGCCCTCCCCTCTGAGCTGGGGCAGGAAGGAGGGTGTGGGCAGAACCCAAGGGGCCAGGCATCCAGAAGAGAAGGCACCAGGCAGGAGGGCCAGAGCAGGCGAGGAGCCGCAGGTCTGAGGAGCAGTCGGGTGGCTGCTGGAGCCTGGCCAGGAGGTGGGTGTGGGAGCTCAGCAGAGTCTAGCTGCCAGGGTGAACCCGCGCGCACACTCTCCATTCAGGGCAGGACGGACAGAGAGAGGGACTCGAGGAGCATCTAATTCTCATGACCCCAAAGAAGAGTGGGTCCTTTCTGAAATTTTACCTTCACAGCTGTTTGAGATGCAGACACGGAAAATGGCCATTCAGTGGTCAGGCCTTGTCAGGGGAACAGGAGGGAAAAGCCGGCCAGAGTGGTGGGTGCTAGGGGGCGTGGGGGCATGGGGGGAGCCCAGAAGCCCCCAGGAAGGCTCTGGGAGCTGTGAGGACCCCCCTCCAACCCTCAGGCACTTCCTGCAACAAGACTTCAGCTGGCCAGCCGCCTCGGGGACTGTTCCGAGACTGTGGTCACCATGGTTGGCGGACACTGAAATGTCAGGAATGTCAAAGTCAAAGCTTCCTGCTCCACAGGCATCTCCCCAGGGCCAGGGGCGGTTTGGGGGTGGGGGGTGTCTGTAAAGAAAGTGGCATGACTGTTACCATCTATAGCACACTGTACTGCACTCGGGCCTGGGACCCTTCCATCCCCCAGTTATTATGTGTGCGCATGCATGTGTGTCCACCCCCAAGGTTTCTGAATAAGGGTGAGAGTGACCAGTGCCCAGATCTGGGTTCCATCCAGTTCTGCCCAGACACGCCACGTGGCCTCCCGCCAGTGGACCTATCCCATTAACACTCTCTGGGCCTTTCCCCTCTCAAGTTCAAAAAGGAGTCTAGACCTTCAGAAGTTATTCAAGAATCAAGGAAAATGACAGATGTGAAAGGAAGCCACCTAAAGTTATTGTGTAGGATGAAGTGATGTGCTTACATTCATCTATTTGCTTTTAATCATTCATTCATTCATTCAACAAACACGCCTTGGGCGAGGTGCTGAGAAGTCAGCAGAGAGGAAAAGAAACTGGCATGGCCCTTGTTCTCAGAAAGCTGACAATTTAGTTGGAAAGACAAACAGGAGTAATAAACACACAAAGGTGCAGATGGTGTTTGATGACACCAGGGGCAAGAAGAGCCAGCTCTGAGCAGGAGTAAATCTCACACACCGAGTGGGGGATGGGCCGGAACCTCGGGCCCAGGATGGCCCCAGAGATGGGTCCAGGAGGTGCTGAAGCCCAGAACTCTGTCCACAGGGGACGGGACACAAGGCTTATCAGCCAGGACAAGACCAAGAGCCTGAGAATTTGCCCAGACGGATGGAAGTTGACAGGTGGGGTCCCAGGTGTGCAGACCAGCATCAGGAAAGGCTCAGGGACAGGAGGTTTAGAGGCAGGATATACAGCCCTTTGGGGGAGCAGGACCACCAGAAACCAGCTCCTGGAGAAGTCGGGTGCCAAGGTCACAGTGGGAACCCCTCTACACTGGGAGTAGGGACCCCGAACCTCAGCTTCTGAGCCAGCCTGGAGTCTGAAAGGGAGCTCCGTCATGGGACTCCACTCACCGAGGTCACACTCCTCTCCTTGCCACGCCCAGATCTGCATCCTTTGGCTTTGTGCCTTATTTGTGGCCCCAAGCGTGACCCAAGGATTCTAAAACTGCCTTCTCTACTTTTCTCGTCCATGCTGTTCAAGGCTGGAACTGACATGCAATCACCTCGTAACTGCCTGGGGCAGTGGTGGCCTCCTGGACCAGTGCACCGGCCAGACCTTCCCTGACCCTCCTCAAAGGGTGTGGGTGTCAAGCCACTGCCAGCCTGGGGCCTCCTGATGTACCTCATGTCGGGAACTGGGTGGCTTTCAGGGTCTGAAACAGGACCACCTTCTTGATGAAGGCTCAGTGGTCCCAGACCAGTCAGCAAATGTGCACTGAGTGAATGAATGAATGAGTGCACGAGAAAAAGCCCGAGGGTTGAAGCTGTTTCGAACCAAGATTCTTTTCCATATAAATGAAACATTCGAAGAAGGGCAGATGGAAATGGCTACCCTCCAAAATACCTTTTTCTAGAGGGATTTCTAAAAACTTCACACACACACACACACACCCCTAAATCACATTTGAGCCCTACGATCACGGCAAACAAACACGATCTAGTATTTGATGCACATGTTATATCACTGAATAGTTTCAGACGCAAACTTCCTGCCTCGCTTAATCCTGATTGTAACAAGGTGAATGCAGTCTGTGTCCATTGTAAAGGAGAGGACACTGAGGCTCCAAGAAGGTGGCTACACAGCCAGTGATTGGCAGAACACCGAGGACTGCACTTGGAGCTGCTTCAGACAGCAAGTGGTGCTCTTGACCTTGGCGTTTGGCTGGTAGTTTGGTGTTGGTTAATTTCACTTGAGCAACTAAGGTTATTAAACGATTTGGCTCCTTTTTTGCGTTTGTTTTGAAACTTCACAGGTTTCACTAAAGGTTGATCCAGGGCTTGACCGCCCCCACATTCTTCCTGGCCACGTACCCAGTCCGCCTGACAGTGACATCAGCAGTATCACATGCTGAAGAAAGGGGGCGGGGGGTCTGCAGCTGGAAGCCTTCCCAGGCGTTGTGGTGGGCAACCCGCAGGCATCCGTGGTCAGCAGGCCTCCATCAGGGAGACAAGCTCAGCACGGATTCCTCAGAGAGCCTTGGGATAGGAAAAGAAAGGATGTTTCTGAAAAGGAAACCAGCGTTCCCAGATGCCTCCGTTAGGAATGAAAACAGGGTCTGGATCCCCACAGTGCTGGGCTTCGGCACAAATAGATACACAAATAATGTCATTTCCACCATACTGAGATGACTGGCATACTTAACGGGAACACCCCTTTCTTAACTCTGAAAACCCTTGTGTGACAGTCTAAGTGTCCACTTCTAAAGAATCAAGCTATGCAGCACGAGACCACCCTGGGGACCCTGCAGAGACCCTCTTTGTACATCACGTGATTTGAAGCTACAGCTAAGAAACTCTAGAGAAGTGGTATGACCCTCAGAAATCAAATATGCAAAAACTATAACGTTATTTGTCTATGTTACTAGCCCACCCTCTTCGGGGGTAGTAAGAACTAATCTCAGCCATGTCGGAGTTCCCCTACCCTCTTTTCTCTGGGGTTCCCGGAAGTTCCAGGGTTGGGACGATGGTGGTAAGAGTCCCATAGCACTGAGGCTCTAAGAAAGAGAATGTCCCATCTTCAGTGTCATCATCTCACGCCGGCATCAACTTCTGGAATCAACCGAAACCGTCCCACCTGCCCCTTGGTGCGGTGTCCGCACTTTGGGTCCACAGGCTGTCTCCTGGCCTGTGGCCCCTCAGGTCCTCCCAGTGTCACTCGCAGACTCACGGACCCTACTCAGTGGCGCTGGGTGATGCTAGGAACGGAAAACTCCAGGAGGTGGATAAAGGCCCTGTTCACCTGGGCAGGTGGTGCCATTTCTTCTCCTAGGTGCCATCACCTCTAGGCTGGGGAGCTTACACGCTCATGGGGGGTTTCAGTGCCAACCTGGGGCTCACAGGCTGGGGAATGGGTCACGTGGCCTCATCGTCGCCGTCTGACTCTCTCTCCAACCCGGGGCCCAGGGGGTGGGAGGGAGGTCTTGCTCTCACCATGTCTTCCTTTCCCATATTTTCTGTCAGAAACACTGTATATGCCCAAGTCCTTTCTGTTCCTCTAAGGACCCAGGTTCGTTCTGCTTTCCTTTGTGCTTTTCGCTGTCGTTTACATACAATAAAAGGCACAGATCTTAAGTATTCAGTTTGAGCAAAATAGAGAACATTTTCATCAGCCCAGAAGTTTCCTTCATGAAAGGGCCTAAACTTTTAAAAATCAAGCCCAAACAATTTTCCCTTCTTTTCCTCTCTTCTATTTTGCCGCTTTTCTTTGCTGAGGTAATGAGCCTCACTGCCTACATGCTGCTTCCTAAAAGAACCAAGGTATATAAAGAAATACTGGGGGGAGGGGGGGCCTGAGATGATATTTTACAATATTAACCTTGATATGAATTACCCAAAAACAAAGAATTCTCCTCATTACATTTCTGCAGTATGTTAGAGTTTACCATGTGCTTCCACGCTACGCATCTCATTTACCCTTACAATGACCCACTGTATACAAGTACAGGTTATCGTGCCCATTTTGCAGATGGGAAAACTGAGGGCTAGAGTGGAGGGGTGACTTTCTAATGCCCCAGAGCTGCTGGGTGTCAGAGATAAGAAAGGACTCAGGTTCACAGCACCACATTCTGTGTCCAGGGAATGGAATTGTTACAGGCCCTCAGAACAGAGAATAGGCAAGGTAGTCACTGCTCTGGAAGACTCTGAAGGGCTCCCTAGGCCCTGCCCTTGTTTAGACACCCCTCAAATTCCCAAGGACGGGTTTCCTCCTTTTATTCTCCATCAGCTCTTCCTGAGGGTTAAGGCATTAATAGGATTGTCCCTGCAGAGCATTCCACAAAGACCGGTCCGGGCACATTTACCCCAAGGAGGAAGGGCGGAGCAGACGTGATGCCGTGTGAGACAGTGGTCCAGTGGCTGGAGCTGCATTCCCTGGGCCAGGTCTGGTCCTTCTCACTTACAGGCTGTGTGATTCCGGACAATTTACAAAACAAAAAAACCAAAAGAAAACAACAAAAAATCTTTATGCCTCTGTTTCCCCATACGTAAAGAGAAGGGAATAATAAGAGTCCCACGCAAAAGGGTGACCATGAGAATTAAATGAGCTGAAGGAGGTGAGACGTGTAGCTCACGCCTGATGCAGAGTCAGCCCAAATAGACGGTCGCTAGTTCATGGACAGGAGGCTGTAAAAACACGCAGGTGCTTTTTCACCATGTCATTAACGCTGCGGAAAGACGGGCTGACTGTGGTGAGTCCCCTTCGATGCGGTGCTCATCTGGGGGAGCTCCTGGGACTAACCCGACACAGCTGGTTGCAAATGGATGCAGAATCCAGTGGGTGCAGGTAGAGGCCACCCTCCACTTTCCAGGGAGAGCAGACCAAAGACAAACACTCGAGAAGGAAAGGCAGGCCATCCCTGAGAAGTAGGCCAGAGTTTAACAGGAAACAAAAGAGCAGGTAGGTTTGGGCATGCTCATTCTGGTACTACGTGCCAGGCAGGGAGATGCCAGGCAACATGTGACCAGAATAAGGGCTTGGTTGCGTGGGGTGTTCACCCAGGGCAGCTCCGAGTGAACTCAGGGTCAGACAGAGACAGGGATTGTGACACAGGAGGGCTTACAGATCAAAGCCAGTGCAGTGCTTGGGCTAAGGCTGGGGAGTTGCCTCTTGGAACAGGGCAGGCAGGCAGCACTGTGGGGAGGTCAGGGGACTGCATTCACGTGGGCGCAAGGCTTCACAACTGCACGGGCCCCAAGTGTGTGAAAGGAGAGGGGCCCCCGCAGGAGCCCACTAGGGGAGAGAGGAGAACGGGTTTGAGCTTTGAGGAATTGTTTCATTTGGGCCTTTTTCTCCCTAAGAAATTGGAATCTGGAAGAGCCTATTAGCTTGTTGTTGAAAACCATCAGGACTAGAAAGATGAGAAGCCAAGAAGAGACAGACTTCAGCAAATTTAAACTCACTGGAGCGAGGTGGAAGGAATTACTGTAGGCAGATCAGCTACTTTAGGAAACAGGCAGTGAAGGCCAGCCCCGCTGGAGAGACCCTGAGCCTGGCCTTCCCGGTGGCCACACTCTCCTGGGGTCCCCTGGCCTCTTCACTCCCCGAATGGCCAGGATGGCGAGGCCTGTGCCCCTCGGAACATGAACAAACTCTTGTTAAAAGCACGAACCCACAACCAGTCATGGAAGCTTAAATACATACACGTCACAAGAACCTCTCCGGGGATCCTGGGACTTTAGCAGCACACAGATAGCAGTTCTCTGAAATATTTCCATTTTAACATCGTAGTTCTATTTTTTCCCTTCCTTCTTTCACTTTAGTTCACTGCCTCAAGGTGTCTGAAGGCAGCAACTCCGTGGACTGCGGCACAAGGGACCGGGAAGCAATCCCGCCGATGAACAGGAAAGTGTCGCTGAGAACTGAGACTTGTGTGAGGCTGTACAGTTTACAGCATGCTTCGGTCGCCATTCCAGGCTTTGCAGCTTTGGAGGAGATGGAGCTGAGGGACATGACGTGGAAAAGAAGGCCGTTGTCTCGGAGACAAGGAAATGACCATGAGAAATGTACTTAGAAGTGAAACCCCAGGGCTATGTGCGACACTGTCTTTGACAAACCTTCGGTCTGAGGTTTCCCAGACGGTGCGTGACTTACACTGTCCACCAGCAGCTGCAGGAGGAAAAAGATCAAAGGAAAAGAGTAGGGAGAAGTTCAAGGCCACACACTTGTCTCCAGCGGCTCTTGGAAAGAGATGAGCTGGGGCTAGGACCCCTCCGGAGTGCAGGAGCCTCGGACCAGGGCGGCCGCAGACGGCCACTCGAAGGCTTGACGACCTGGTCCAGACTCTGGTCCGCTCCAGCGGGCGACTCTGCCTGTGGGGGGCGGGGGGGGGCGAGTGAGGCCATCACCTGATCACCTGGGCTTTCGGTTGATGGGTTTGGGAAACGGTCTCCATCTATTCACAGGGTGGGGAGGATTCATTAATGTTTGCAAAGTCCTTTCCAATCCGTGTTGAAAGGCAGCTCTAATTATCCAGGGTGTCACCTGACACTCTTCTCACAATGACTCTGCCCTGGAAGGTGTCAACGGAGACTGACACTTTGCTACTGTCAGGCTCAGCCGTTACCAAAGCGCTTCCAGCTGGTGTGGCCGTTTATCTCCGTCTCCAATTTACTGCCCAGATTCCGAACCTCCGCAGGGAGATGGTATCTCATGTGAGGACATGGTGACACTAGACCTGTACCCCACCGGTTCCCTCCCACCCCAGGAGGGGGCGGCGGCCCGTGGGGAATAATTTGACAAGCTCACACAGCCAAAAACAAACCCTGCGACGCCTCACAGGGGCTGGAAATCCCTCCAGAAAAATTCACTCCTTTGGGTCTCAGATGTTCTTTGTGTGTCCGGGATGTTGTAGTAAAAAGGGGGCAAAGCCAGGAGTCAGAACACCTGCCCCTGGTTTGGTGCTGCCTTTGCTCTCTCTAGCCTGGTGACCTGGGATAAACCCACTCCCTTCCTTCCGTTTGTCATCTTCTTCCTTTTTTTTTTTCTATCTAAAATGGCACAGCTAACGCAGGTCTCACAGGGCTGCTGTGAGGATCAGGCGAGATAATGGATGGGAAGCCGAGTGCTGCAGAAAGGTAAGAAGGACCATTATCACTAAAACGCTAGTCGGCCGGGCTGGCTAATCCCCAGCAGGGATTACTGGATGGCTCCCCAGGTCCCAGGAGGCTCAGCGTGGGCAGAACAGAGAGACAGGGGACCACAGTGGGCAGCAAGACTCCAGAAGAGGAAAAGGGAGGGACCCTCTCCTGTTGGCATGACTGTGAAAGTTTTGGGGGTGAGGAGGGGCCCGAGGTTTTTCCCTGCTTCCCCAGAGGACTGGGAGCACCATGGGGGTTCGGGTGCTGCCTGCCGGTTGGCCAAGGACGTGAAGACTGGGGGAGGCTCACTCGCTTAAAGAAGCATTAGGAAAAATGATCAAATGTGTCTGCGTCTATGCAGACACATCATTCAGGTAATTCAGGCAAAGGGCCCAGTTTTGCCATGAGTAGCCCGTGTGCGTCAGACCAGAGTAATTGCTTTCTTTGTCAGAATTTCCTGGATAATCTCCTCCCCTTTGTTTGGCTGAAAGAACCAGCCTCGCATCTGGGAGCCTGCTTGCCAAACATGATTGGGTCCTTAGAGATAAAAGGCGCAGTGGAAGTGATTTTCCATAAACACGTTGGCACACATATTAATTATTACAAGGGGAAAATGTGCCCATATGTTCCATCCGGGAGGACGATGCCGCAGATGAGATGTGCAGAGAGGAGACGGCTGGTGGTGGAACCACGAGAGCTCCTTATCAGGAAGCTGCTGGCATCCAGGCTCTGTCCTGGGTGCTTTGCATTAAAAATCTCATTTAATCCTCCCAACAGCCCTGGGAGGCAGCAGCATCCAAGAACAGAAAGAACTTGAGTTTGGAAGCCAGACGTTCATAGATTGGATTCCTGACTCTAGCCATGTGCTGTGTGAACGAAGTGAGAGCTTCAGTTTTTCCTCTGTTCATGGAAGTGACAACAGCGGCCTGAGAGGGCACTGGGAGAACTCCGTGTGGTTGTGAGTGTGAAGCACCTGCCAGGCCCACAGCTGGCAGGTGACCAATGTCACCCTTTCCAGACGAGGATGCTGACGAGCAGGGAGGCTAGGAATCCCCCAGGTCCTGTCGCTGGTCACAGCAGACCCAGGGCTGTCTCCCCCACGGGCAGGCGTTGGGCTCGGAGAGGGTTTAACTCCAGTCTTCCCAGCACCTGCTGCAGCCCCGTGACTTACCACCAGGGTCTGCAAGCAGGTGGAGGGCATGATCACTCATTTCTTTCTGTATCCTCAGCATTTTGCACGCTGCAGAATTCCTCCGCAATGTATGATGAATGAATGGAAGAGTTAAGAAGAGCCTGGACTGGACTGACTGAGCAGATCAAGGGAACCCCGTGAGCCTGAAAACCCGGGGTTGGGACATGAACTTCCCTCTCGCTGCAGGGAAGGTAATGTGAATGCATTCTGACGCCCGCCTTCGTTACAGGCAGAGGGACCCCCCCACAAGGGGGATGTCAGAGGTGACAGAAATGACCTCAAAGAGAAATGGCACCAACTGGGGACCCCTGAGGAAACTTGTGATGAACAAGCATTGGGATGATCACGTGGGATAATGGCTAGAAGATGCTTTGAAGATGCTACAATCTATGCACACGAAAGGGATCACTGTTTCTGTGAATCATGGCGTCCTGGAGCAAGAGTTAGTGACCGTCTGGTTTGGGCTTTCCTGGGTTGCAGTGAGAAGATGAGAAAAACAAAGTCCTAGACAGAATCCCAGTGGGTGATACACATGTAAGACGATGGGTTTAGAAGGAGAAAAGTGGGAACAATGCCCTCCCCAGCCCAGCTGTGGTCTGTGCTCAGCCCCAGTGTTGAGGCCACAGGGAAGCGGCTCCCTTGGCCCCGCGGAACGTGGACCCACTTGACAGAAGACCCTCCAGTGAACTCCACAGGGGCAGGTTTGATGGGGGTTCTGCCCTCCTGGCTGAGTCCACACTTGCTGCGAGCCACCGTCTTTCTTCTGAACGACAAAGCCCTCCCCAGCAGGCTTGCATCAGCTGAGTGCCTTCCCAGCCCTGCCCCAGCCTCCTCGCCCCGCAGTCCACCTCCGCCCAGCCCGTGGGGCCTGGCACCGGGGCGGGCACAGGCCCTGCGCCTGTAACTATAGACGGGAAACCAGAAGCTCCTCCCACGCCCCTGGCTGAGAGCTGCCCAGGGCGGGGGCTGAAGTCAGGGCCCAGCAGAGCAGGCCTAACGACAAGCCATCCATCTGACTCCCTCCAGAGAGAAGGTGAAGTCAGCCCCTCTGGGCAGAACGTCAGCTCCTGCCCATGACATGCTCTGCCCTCAGGGGCCTCAGCCCAGCCTGCGGGGAGAAGTCACACTGCTCCCCACAAGTGCTGCAGCCCTCAGAGAGGGGCTCAGCAGGGCCTCGCCGCCTGACTGCATCCTGCGATCAGGAGCTCGGGCGGCTTCCGATTCCCTGTCCCCCGGGACGCTGCCGCCTCCCTCGTAAACAGCATTAGACTCCCTTGATCCACACAAACAGCAGTTCTGCTCTAGTCAAACAGCAGTCACTAACCAAAGGATGTCCCCTCT